TTTTTTTTTTTTTTTTTTTACCAACTCCAAAATATATCCTCTTCGCTAACATTTAAGCCATTGGCCTGATGTAGTGATGGTGCTGGTGCTGGAGCTGGAGTAGGAGACCTTGTTCAAATCTCCCTTCATCCATCAAAATTCACTGGGTGACATGAAGAAAATTGTGTTTTTGTTTTTTTGTAGCTAAACCTATCTCACAGGGTTATTGTTGCAGGGAAATATAGGGAGTGAGGGCAAATATACGTGTCCCAGGATAATGTTGCAGGATCCAATCTGGGTCCATCATTGGGATTAGAGGTTTAGTCTTCCAAACTTTCGGACTTGTGCTAGAGCCGTTCCTAACAGAATGTCTAACATAAATAAGTTCCCTGAGGATGGGCTCCAGCATGAATCCGAATCCAGATTGGATTCTGCAAAAATAGGGAGTGCTGTGTATGCAGCTTCTGAACAAATATAGGCTATACATAAAATGAATAAATGTAGTCATCTTATTCCAGAGTTGAAATCCACGAGTCATAAAAGAGCCAAGATTGCCTACCCCTGTAGTAGACTTTGCTCTTCTTCCCTCCTACCTCATGATTTGCATTGGTATTCTAAACAAAACACCTACACACACAGACACACACATTGTCTCACTCACTAGGCCTCTCTATGGTCTTCAGGAATGGCGCCCCTTAAATACCATCCTCACCATTTTTCCCTTACCCAAACAGCTAGTGTGGTTAAGAGGGGGGCTCGTACCCCAAGAAATTGCAGAAGATACCCATGCCTCTACGTGTTCTTCCAGAACATGACGCCCCTTCTCCCTCCACTCCCTGCTTCTGAGTCAAGGATAGCTCCTGGCCTTCTGGATTTCATACAAATTTGGTCCTAGAAGGATTTGGTGATTATGTGTTTTAGAGTTCCTTGTCCCAGGAATATTAATTATAATTTTTGTATTGTACTTAATAATAATAATAGTAAAGTTGGAAGGGACCTTGGAGGTCATCTAGTCCAACCCCCTGCTCAGGCAGGAAACCCTATACCATTTCGGTCTTGAAAACTTCCAGTGTTGGAGCATTCACCACTTCTGGAGGCAGGTTGTTCCACTGGTTAATTGTTCTGTCAGGAAGTTTCTCATTAGTTCTAGGTTGCTTCTCTCCTTGATTAGTTTCCATCTGTTGCTTCTTGTCCTGCCTTCAGGCGCTTTGGAGAATAGCTTGACTCCCTCTTCTTTGGGGCAGCCCCTGAGATATTGGAACACTGCTATCATGTCCCCCCTCGTCCTTCTCTTCATTAAACTAGACATACCCAATTCCACCAGCCATTCCTTATATGTTTTAGCCTCCAGTCCCCTGATCATCTTTGTTGCTCTTCTCTGTACTCTTTCTAGAATCTCAACATCATTTTTACATCGTGGTGACCCAAACTGGATGCAGTGTTCCAAGTGTGGCCTTACCAAGGCATTGTAAAGTGGTATTAACACTTCACGTGATCTTGATTCTATCCCTCTGTTAATGCAGCCTAGCACTGTGTTGGCCTTTTTGGCAGCTGCAGCACACTGCTGGCTCATATTTAGGTGATTGTCCACTAGGACTCCGAGGTCCCTCTCACAGTTACTACTATTGAGCAAGGTGCCA